TAAAATCTCGCTTTTTCATTTAAATAACTTTGAAAAAAATCACTGGCCTAAAGTCAAATGCATTGTATTATTCATTATATTTTTATCGCACTTTATTTGTAATTACATAAATAATACATATAATAAATATAAATTTTAGTTTATTCATGCAGTTATAATTTTAGTTTTTTTTTTTTCGATTCTCTCTTAATCATATTAAATAATAAAATAATAAAATAATGGATTACAGTATATAAAATTATATTCGACAACAATTACAGTGATAATCGTTTGATAAGAGATGTGAATTTTTTTAAAGGCATAAAGAAATCTCAAATAACAATATATCTCATTTTTAAATGAATTTGAAAGGTTCTTTTATTTAAAAACAAATACTATCATAATCTTCTAAACAATAAATGAAATATTAAACCATTTTATTGATTATTTCTTTTAATAATTGTTTTGCATCGGTATTTCTATTTTCCTTCGCTTTATTTAACCAACATATAGCTTTTATAATATCTTTTCTAGTTCCATATCCTTCATAAAAGCATTTCCCAGTCATGTATTGGCCCATAATATCTTCATTTTCTGCAGCTTTTTTAGACCATTCAAATACTTTCACTTTATCTTTTTCAATTCCAATACCATATTTATAAAAACATGCTAAATTAAACTGTGCTGTGGAATATTCTTTTTCGGCAGCTTTCAAATACCATTTGAATGCTTCTTTAAAGTCTTTGCTCACACCTAGACCGTTCTTATGACAATACCCAATATTATTAATAGCACCAATGTTTCCAGAGAGAGCAGATTTCATATACCATCGAAATCCTTCGGATTTATCTATAGCAGTTCCTATCCCCTTTTCATGACAAACACCAACAATAAATTGTGCTACAAGACACCCTTCTTCAGCAGACTTCAAATATAATTCAAATGCTTTTTTTTCATTCTTTTCAACACCACATCCAAATTCATAACACATTGAAACAAAAGTTAAAGCTCTAATTGACCCTTCATTAGCAACTTTGGAATAAATCTCAAATGTTTTTTTCCAATTTTGTTTAATACCTAGACCATATAAATACATATACCCAAGATAGATGAATCCAATTTCTCTGTTGTTTTCATGTAATTTTCTTAATGATAATGAATTTGGTGAGGTATTCTTCATATCAATTATTTCATTAGTAACTAAACTAAAGAATTTAAATGCCATTTGATAATCAACAATAGTGCCAATTCCATATTTATAAAAAAATCCTATTAAGCTAGTAAACCTGTAATGAGAATGAGATTGATGGCTTATCAATTCATATAGAATTTCAACTGGATTCTTGTTATGTTCTCTAATATGATTTTTGATCATAATTGGAAGCAGTACTGTTTCCTGTTTCTCATATGAATCAATGAAAAATTCAAATAAATCCTTAATATACATATTAATTTCATCCGAGGCATCAACAAAAGGTGGATCAGGTTTGATTTTTAGTTCTTCATTTTGCCTTAACAAAGAATAATAATTTTGTATTTAATTATAATTTGGGAATTAAACACATATAAAATATTAAAAAAAATGTAACTTACTTATTTGATATTTCTAATTTTACCGAAATAACTTCATCTGTGACATTATAAGATTGTAAAAGAGGAGTTTCAATTTCAAAGCTTTCATCAGAAATGATGATTTCAGAAAGATTTTTAAACACTTGAGAAATATCTGGTCGTGTATTTCCATTGTGTTTCCAGCAATCTGTCAAAAATATTCGTTATCACATTAATAGATTATTATGTATAAAAGATTTTAATAAATTATTATAAATTTATACCTGTATATATTTCTTTGTATTTAGGTGGAGTTCCAAGTATAATCATTTCCCTTTTTCCTTTCACGATATTATTTAATAAATCTATATTTGATGAGAGTTCCATTTCAAAAGGAAAATTGCCACTAGAAATTTCCCAGAGAATAATTCCCAAACTAAAAATATCTGAACTCTTATTTTTACCAATCGTGCTGAAAATTTCCAAATATTGAGGATCTATATATTGAATTGGGCCAAGAATATTTTTAAGAAATCTTAATGAATCAGGCATAATTTTTGTTAATCCAAAAACATTTAATTTAATGTTTCCATTATGAACAAGAATATTTTCCGAGTTCTAATAAAAAAATCATAAGGTAAATTAAATTCGAAGTAATTCATGTTGGATAGAATATTTGAAAGAATGGTTACCAATTTTCCATGAATAATTTCATTAGAATGTAAATACATCAAAACATCGGTAATCTGTTTTGCAAGATTTAATTTTGTATTCCAATCCATTTTATGGAAATTCATTTTCAAATATTGACGAAGAGATTCATTATTAGCATATTCAAGAATAATCATATAATTATTGGAATTTTCTATAAAAAAACCATAAAATTAATAAGTTGAGTAATTAATAATATCTAAATATTAAGAATAATATTTAAATATTTTTAACCTTGCTTAGTAACGCCGTAAAATTTAAGAATGTTATCATGAGTTTCCAATTTTCGATGTCTTTTAATCTTTTTCAATTATTTAAAATATAAAAATAAAAATATTAATAGTAAATTCAAATAATAAAACAAAAAATTAAAATTTAACTCACTTCAATAATTAAATTGTCCAATGTAAATTTATCATTTAAATAAACACATTTAAGAGCAATAGTTTTTCGAGAAATTTTAAAAATGGCTTTATAAATATTTTCACTAATTAATTTTACATTTTCAAATTCAGAATATTGATAAAATGGAATATCTTCTTTTTGAAAAGTATCTTCAATAATTAAGTTGTCCATCCAAGCCTCCCATTCTTTTGTATCTTCATGTTCATTTGTTCTATCTTGCGACGACATGATTATTTATAAATTTTAACTGCGATGGTTATTGAATACACCAATTTTATAAGTCACAGTTACACCACATTATAAAAACAAATGAAAATTTTTTATTAGTAAATATACCTGTTGCGCAGCATAAAGATTAATGATTTTTCCTTTTTTAAAGTATTAAAGTGATCCTTTTATTCTTTAAAATGGAATAAGATGAAATGAAAGTCCAAGAAATTAATTTAATATATTACAGTCAATTCATTTTTCCGAAAATTTATATAGTAGATACATCAGGAATATTTATAAGGGGATATTTTCGAAAATTTTTGAAATATAAATATTCCTGATGAATAGCCAGCAATCTCTTTATGATCTTTGCAATTTTAATTCTGTTATTTTATTTATTAAAAAAATAGAAGTTTTTTTTTTCTTTTTTCATTATTTATTTTAGAAATGGAAGACTTATTTTTCTTTGTTTAAAATTAGAATTAAATAAGCGAATAATTTATAATTTTATTTAATTATCCACAAACACAAAATAATATGTAATCGTAAATACTCAATTTAAATCTGAGATTCTTGACAATGTTAACAATTTATTGAATTTCAGTCCATTTCCACACACCTTTCCTAACTTTATGGCTTTGGAACATTTGGAACATTTTTAATGACTGAAAAGATATTATCAGTTTTTTTAATCTAAATGAGCATAATTTTTGTTGTGCAAGTGTTCAAGTCCAAATTCAATAATAAATCATTTTTTATCAGATAAAGTTCTAATATTATTGTCACAACCAATCATGATAAGTTTTTATCTTAGCATTTTTAGCGAAATGTCGGTATAGCATGATCATAATGGTGATATAAATATAGAGATGGGAGAAAATAATGAAGATATTTTTTATTTTTTAGATTACAATTGAGATCAAAGGTTATTCATTATATACATGGTGCGATTATTTTAATTTTTAGAATTGAAGTACATATATTTTTATATGAACATATATGAAAAGATATTAATTATAAAATAATCAAATCTTTTTTTGAATTATTAACAATGAAATAGCTTAATCTAGGTAATATCAATTATGTATCTGGTAAGTTAAAATTTAATTAAAATAGTTATTTTATCAATGACAAAGGAGTTTAGAAAATTATTAACAACCTGTTAAGTGATATATTCTTATAATAACTTTTTAAGAAAGCTATATAATTTTTTATTACGTACTTTAATTATTTTTTAATTTTTATTATGATTTTGAGTTTGGATATACGAATTTACATTATTGAAACAAAGCGCCATTAACTTAGGTTCAAAATAATAATATGATTACAGAAGAAAATTCTATATTAAAGAATAAAGAAATTATAATTGAAAAATGACTGACTGATAAAGTATTTGAAAGGTATAAAATAATTTATATCCACAAAAAAATGAATATTGTCGAAAATAATATCGCATCAAAGCTTTATTTTGTTCTTGATTTATTTATATTTGATTACGGTATGTTTTCTTAACTTCAATGCTGCAGCACTTTTTTGATGGACTAGTCATAAATAATGCATTAATAATTAAATTTTTCGCGTTTTTTTTAGATAGAAACGCAACGCAAAGTGAGAGATCAGATCTAATATTGCTAATATAAAATATTGAAGTATTTTATCAGAGTTTGTTTAGTTTTTCTCAACCTTACCAAGATTTAAATAACTTTAATTTATGAATTTTATTTTGTTAAGGAACAACCACTGATCTAAAGCCGAATGCATTATTCATAAATTATTTTTGTTTCGTGTTTTATTCAATTTTTTTTGACCTTCTCACTATTCAATAATTGTAAATTTTTTTTTATCTTATTTTTTCTTGATCTTTGGATTTTTCTCGTACTCTATTTGTGACTACATATTATAATACATATAATAAATACTAGATCAAGACGTGATGCATTGGTCAGTTTTGAAAAGTTTAGAGACAAAGAATTACGTTTACTAATATTAACAAAATACACACTTTGTTCGCTATTATACCTTGACAATGAAAATTCTCAAAATAGCAATATATATATATCACATGACGTCATTATCTACTATACGATGAAAGAGTTATTTAATGATTATTTCATCTAATAAATTACATTCCCATTTTCCCTTGCTTAATTTAACCAATCTATGGTTTTTAAAATATCTTTCTCAGTTCCACTTCCTTCATAAAAGCATTCTCCAATCATGTATTGGACAATAATGTGATCACTTTCTGCAGCTTTTTTAATTCATTCGAATGCTTTCCTTTTATCTTCAATCCAATACCGTTTTTATAAAAAGTGCTAAATTCACCTGTGCTGCGGAATCATCTTTTTTCAGCAGCTTTCATACACCATTTGAATCATTCATTGCACTAATATTTTCAGAAAGAGCAGATTTCATATTCGATAGAAATCATCTATAGCCCCATTTCTATAACATTATTTTGTGCGACAATACACCCTTTTTTGGCGGACTTCAAAGGCTTTTTTTTTATTTTTTTTTCAATACCAATTCCATCTTAATAACATCTTGCAGCAAAAGTTAAAGTTAAAAGAGATTTATTAGCAACTTTAGTATAAATATGAAATGTCTCTTTCAAATTTTGTTTAACATCTAGACCATTTAAATGCATATCCCCAAGATGGATGAATCCAATTTCTGTTTTTTATTTTCTTGAGGATAATGAATTTGACGAGATATTTTTCGTATCAATTATTTCATTCGTAGCTAAACTAAAAAGTTTAAATGCCATTTTATTATCAACCATAGTACCAATATCATATTTATAAAAAAAACTATTAAGCTAGTAAACCTATAATGAGATGGTCATCATTTAAATAATAAATAAATAATAAATATATATGAATGATGCATGAATATTTTTTATTTGGTAAATTTTTTTAAGAAAGGAAATCGTTTATGTAATACCGCTTCTTGTATTTCGTAATCGTTACTAATGCATGCAAAACGGAATTTATTTAATCCGATAATGTAATATTTTTTTAGATTTTATTTAAAAGAAATGGACGGAGAAACGAGAAAAATGGAAGAAATGAATGAATCGGAAGAGTAGGCATATTGTTATATTAAATTTTATTTAAATTCATAATTTATTACTAATAATAATTTACATAAATTATATTCCTAATAAACT